CCTCTAGCCTGACACCTGACCCACTGATTTGAGACTTGCCAGCCTCAACTGCAGAGACAACTGCGTGAGCCATTTCCTTGAAGTAGATCTCTCTCTCTCTCTCTATTTATATATATGCTCCACTGGTTTTGCTCCTTTAGAGAACCCAGCCTAAGACACTTGCTTACAGCTGCACCACTCCAATTTCTGCCTCCATTGTCACATAGCCTTTTTCCTTCTGTGTGTGTCTGTGTCCCTGTGTGTTCTCTTCTCTTAAGGGCAGCAGCCATATTGGGTTTAGGGCCCGCCCTAATCCAGCTCATCTTAATTACATCTGCAAAGCCCCTATTTCCAAATAAGAGCACTATCTGAGATCCCAAGTGGACATGATTGGGGAGATACTATTCAGCCCAGGACACCGAGTGTCTGCAACACTTAGCATTGAGTCTAGGTTTTTCCTGTAGGAAAAATGTAGTTCCTTTTTCAGGTCTTTGGTCCCAGGAAAAAAGAAAATTCTTTGTTATTATTTATGACTATGAAATACAATGTGTGATTTGCAGTTTTCTGCTTCTTTGTAAGGAGACAGAGTCCCAGAGAAGGTCCCTAACGTACTAGGTTGACTGTTGAGGGTGGGATTGTAAAATGGAGGCTGAGGAAGAATTGACTTTTTCTACATGTAAAACAAGATAGGGAGGATGCTGTGAGCAGAAGTGTAGCAAAGCGATGGAACCAGAAAACTGATTTTAGGGTCTGGCCATAGATGTCAGATTTTGTAGAAAGAGAAGTTACATGGCCATGTCTAGGGAAGAAAAAAGGAGGCTTTGTGGCGCAACAGTTAAGCTCTTGGCTGCTATCTGAAAAGTTGGTGGCTGAACACACCCAGCTACTCTGCTCCACAGCCAGGAAAGACCTGGCAATCTGCCTCAGTGAAGATTACAGCCTAGAAGATCCTATGGGGCAGTTTGACTCTGTCACGCGGGGTCACTATGAGTCAAAAGTGACAACGCCTAACAACTACAATGTAGTTTGTGATCCGAAATAGATCATAAATGCTTAGAAAAGCTAAGCAGGGACCTAACAACAAGAAAAGGGAAGAAACACT